TATATATATATATATATATAACTAGGTCTGTTTGATTTCACAAAAATCTGCAAATTTATGTGATTTAAAATTACATTTTTTAAATGCAGGTAAACTAACATTTTGTAGTAATTATTTCAGGAAACAGGGTTTACAACATCTAAATTCATCTTTTGGACGAATTATTTAAAATGTTAAACTATTTTTTAAAATTGCACATTAATTCTATTATCAATTCAGTTTTTCAACAGCTGCACAGATTTGCAAAGGTAGATTAGGTTGGTCTGATCTTTTCCCCCTGTAACATTCTGTAGTATTTTAGTAAGGAGTGTCTGATGAATAAATTTTGCTTTCTGTCTGATGTGTGATGGAGTGCAACCAGCAGTCTCTCTAAATGGCACACTAGAAAGAAAGCCTAAGCCTCGGGGTTTGCAGGAACAAAATACCTGTGCACCTGGGAAAGGTGGGGGAATATTTAGACCTGAAAACAGAGCTCTAAAAAAATCCAGCGCAGATTTGCTTACTGTGGTCAATGACAGATTTACTAGGGAGGGAGGCACCAGCATTATAAAAAAATCAGGGTGCACACACACGGAGAAAAGATATGTTGACTAGAAAAACAAGATCAAAAGTGAACGATGATTGAGATGACAAGAGAAAGGTACCAGCAAAGAGGGGGACGGCAGATGGCAGCGGAGCTGGGAACAAAAGATAAAAAAGAGAAGAAAAAGGCAAACAAGCCTTCTAACTCCAACCAAGCCTTGCTTCTCTACAAAGATAAGACCACAAAACCACCCCACACTGTGTGTGTGTACACCTGGGGAAGGGTGAAAGGTGCAGAAAAAGCGGGAGATACAGGCAGGGTGGTTACACGCCTATAGTCTGGCAGAGCGCCAGGTTTAAAGTAAAAGCCAGAATAAAACACAAGCTGCTCTCTTAAAATGAGGGTTCTAAAAGTTTTTTTTGTTCACAGCAATGCCATTGAAGAAGCGTTTTGGTACCTACAGAACCTTCCAGTGATCAGTTCTTTAAAGAACCATTTTTGGTAATGGGAAGAACATTTATAAATAAAAAAAA